AGTGTGGAGGAGAAACTGGAAAAGAAAAAAAGGGTAAGAAAGGTTGTACTCCCAGGGTCAACAAAGAGAGACAGCTTTGCCCTAGAACTGGCATTCCTAAATATGTAATTCTAGCCTCCTAAAGTGTAAGACAAACCAAATCTCTCTTTGTTAAAATATCTCACTTAATGGTATTTGTTTCAGCAGCACTGTTGTTGACTACCATCTAGTTGAATCAAACCATACCCAACCCTCTCCAATGGGTTTTCAGAGGCAGTAAATCATACAGGAGGAGACTGCACACCTTTCTCCCATGGAGAAGCTAGTGGATTAGAACCACATATGTGTGCATTGGCATTGCAGCTTTTTACCATTATGCCACCAGAACTCCTGCCTGTTGTTGTTTGCATTGAGTCAGAGCCAACTCATAGCTGACCCTCCAGTGGGATTTCAGAGGCATTACATTGAACAGGAAAAGATTGTCCATCCTTCCCCTATGGAGCAGCTGGTAGATTCGACCACATGCCTTTGGGATCGCAGCAAAGCTTCTTACCTTTAGGCCACTAGAACTCTCTAACAGCCTGCCTAGAAAACGCAAATGGTAATAAGGGCCTTGGTGTCAAAACTCAGATGCTCTGATGATAATCACATCATGGAGATTCTTGAAGCTGACTAGGTTTGTTTTTGGTCATCAGAGGAAATGAATGATATAAGGTAAAGGCACTGATGTCAAAACTCAGATGCTGTGATGATAATCACATCATGGAGATTCATGAAGTTGACTAGGAGGTTTTTTTAAGGTAGTTTCACATTTTGGTGTCTTCAGTTTCTTAAGAATTAAACCTATCTCATATTGAAAACATGTACAGATTATTGTAGCATTTTGGTTTATGCCCTGGACTTTTTCCTCCATGTTTTTCTGGAGACACATAATTTTTTTAATCCCAACACCCACATGAGCCATCTGTGTACCAGGCACATTTTCCAAGATGTAGAATCAATTAAAATATGCCTATTCCATTTATTTAGGGGATAAAACTAAACTATGACTAATGATGCTATGGAAGATATGGCATAATTAATGAAAAAAAAATCAATCTCTGTGTGAATAGCTAGAAAAGCCTAGAAGTTCATACCAAGCCACAGCCTGTGTGTGATTCACCACCAGTGTTTTCAGTCTTCGCTGTCCAAGAGCCAGTATGGGAAGCAGAGCCACCCCCAGTGTATGATCTGGTGGTATTCCCTATTAGCTGATTGGTTTTTAGTTTTTCAAAATTGTGTTTAGAGAAAACTGTATGCTCTATCCCATAAATGACTTCAGGCATATTATCCAGAAAAGTGAGTCCTTGGTAAAAAGACATCACATTTGGAAAGGTGGAGGGAGGCTCAGCACAAGAGAGAAAGACCCTCAACAAGACGGATCAGCAAACTGACCGTAGCAATGGGCTCACATGATGTCAGAGATTATGAGGACAGGGTATGGTAGGGCAAGGTTCAGATCTATTCTTAGGCATACTGTTAGTTGTCATTGACTTGGCCTAACAACAACAACCACCCCATAACACGTCCATGCCAGCTTTACTTAAAAAGGCTCAGTTATTTCCAGTGAATTAAAATGGACTTTAAGGGAAGATGCACTCTATTTATTACTACCTTTCAACATTATGTTGGACATTCTTCTGAACTCTTGGAAGATACTTCTAGACCTGTTTAGAAACCACAAAGTTGCAGAAATTTCTCACCCAGGATGTATCTTTGCTAAAATTTAACAAAATTCTTCTCTATCTCCATCTCTTTTTCTGTTTCTATTATCTATGCTACATGTAAACTCCTGAAGTACTTTTTCCTAGCTCATTAATAAAATCCTTCCCTCAAAGCTTTTAATTGACAACGTTTCCACAGTTAAGGTGATTGAAGGTTATAAAAACAGTCTTCATATAATAGAGGGGGTTTGTGTGAGGAGGAGTAGCTGTCTGAGGTGAGAATTGCCTATGTACTTCCCTCTTTAGATCTCATTAATGTCAGTAGCTAAACCAAGAACTTATAAAATATAATGGATGTTATGTTTTAAAAGTTCTTTATAACCTTTCTAAAATATGACCAAACAGCAGGCTGGTCAGGCTCGCATATAAGTAGGAGAAGTGATTTATTTATAAATTCGAATCTCAAAACATTCAGAAGACCTAACATGTGTGTTATTTGAAGGTTTTTAATTTTAAATTATTTTTGTTAGATAATCCTGTTTAAAGTGACATTGTGATTTATTGCCAATAATCAAGATTCTGATTCCTCATAGCCTTCTTGTTTGTATCTGTTTTCATTCTTTGTTACATAAATATGAGGTTTCTATATAAAATTCTGACTGTGTAATATAGGGCTAATGAGTCACAGATGGAAATATGCTGGCACATTACCATCTAATAACATTTTAAACTCATATTCCATAGTAAAACAAAAGCAAATTGTACACATCTGTTTTCCAACTTGTACCATTTCTGAATTTGTGCGGAGTCTATGTTTAAAAAACTTTTGCTTGGGAAGAAGAAAAAGAGAATACAGGTCACCTCCAAACTACCCAAGCACATAATAACCTTATCAGAAAGGATTTGGCAGAAGGAAGACGATTTCCTCTGCTTTGTTTCCAAGGAAGGGCTAGCTCTAAAAAATGAGAATCAAAAGCATTAGGACTAAGAAATGCAGTTACACCATCCACATTGGCTTTCTTTTTTTTTTAAAAAAAAAATCCTAATATGAAGGAGAGCCGGAAAGATACCTCAACAAAAAACAAATATGAAAATGAAATTCTTTCACACCTTTACATGGTAAAAAAAAATCCTCAGAAAAGATTTGTTTGGGAAGAAAGGAAAGGAGTAAAGCAATGTTGAATGTAGAAGAATACATACAGAAACCTGAGGCCTGTTTATTTCATTTGGATGCTATTTATTTTATTTGTATGGTAAACACGTTCTGTGGCAATATAAACAAACAAACAAATAAATCATAAAAAATGGCTTCAGTTGTATGTATTGTTGGAAAAGAAATAGAGAAAAGGCAAAATTTCTCTCTCAGATCTATTCACCTGTAAGAACGAACTCTTTCTCTCATTGCTACGGAGTGGAATTGACTCATAACCCACCTCCAGCAGGTTTTCAGAGGCCTCCCCAGGGAGGAGACTGCCCATCTTTCTCCAGCAGAGTAACTGGTACACTAGAACCATCTACCTTTGGGTTGGCAGCACAACTCCTTACCAACTAGACCACCAAGAGCTCCCTACGGGCACACTAGTGCAAATTATAATACATGTCTCTAAAATATCTCTCCCTCATTCTCACGGGTTAAGGAATTTAATAACACCTTTCTGTGTTAAGGGGTTGTGTGAACTGTCATGTTCTTTTGGAAAACGTTATGTAGCAGAGTGATTTCTGCAGTGTGACCATAAATCCCCCTGAAGTACTCTTACTATCAGAGAAAGAGCTCCTCTCCTCACCCCCCTGCCACCTCTGCTGTCCTGAAAGAGAGAGAATTGATGATAATTATGTGATCTGAGAGAGAAATTTTAATATGTGGGTGGTAAGATTTGATGAGCTTTGTTGCATTTATTCTAAAGAATATGTGTGATCTGACAGCAAAATTCTGTTCTCTGTTGTCGTCCATAAAAAGATTAATGCATGTATTGTATGTCTTGAGTTGTAGGGTAAGCAGAATGTCAGGAGGGGGGATAAGTCAATGCAGTTATCTCCATTTGTACAAAAATTCTAGACAAATGTTTCTGTATCACGATTAAGGTAACTGATATCATTTAATTGTACATCTGAGAATGAATTGGCAATTGTTCTAAGATGGAAAGATATTTGCAAACTTTTTTTAAGAATAATCTCTTAGACATATTAAAAAAGGTCAGAAATGTTAAGAAATGGGGGCTCTGCACCAGCATATGTAGAGAGCCCATTATACCTGTGGTGAGAATGGTTAAAATGAGCTTTAACTCCTTCCATTCTCTTAAAGGCAAGGTTCCTTTGGGGGCCTCCTCTGTGAGATTTTGTTTACTGTATTTGTCAAATAAGGCGCAGTTAGAGCAGTGAAGGGGAGCTATCAGGGACTTGATTGTTTTGTTTGTCCACCGGTGAAATGTCTGTGTGACGTTCTGTGTCGTGTTGTTTTGGTGCTGTGCTGTGTCCGTAGGGTCTCCCAGGCTTCCCCACAGTCGCTGCTCTGCACAGTAATCAGATCCTCACCGTCAAGGTTTGTGGTTGGTGCCCATGCCTGCATGGTCAGAGCCTGCAATCAGCATAAGTGTGAGCAGGAACCACTGCATTGGCTTGCCCAGTCCAGCTGCTTCACCTCATACACGCCCAGTTATTGGACAACTGGGACTTCACCTGACCAGTGAGGTCAAATACATAGTAGAAAGGTGTATCTTGAGAACATATGAGAGTGTTGAGGTCAAACAGGTATAGGGGAGTGAGGCTGGCATAAATATCGAAGACTACGCCATGCCTCAGTGGCTTAATTGGCATGCATTCCAAAGCTCTGACTGAGATGCTTCTAAGTCCATTAAATAACCCTAAGTGCTCTGGACCTCTGGCATCATTAAAATGCAGTTGAGTTCATGCCGTATTGTGCTGGTTGGAAATTCTGACAGATATTGAACTGGTACTTTGTCTCTGGACCTTCTGCTCAGAGTAAAACCATGCAGTGTGACTCGTTGTCTTCTGCTTCTCTGATTACCATAATGCTTAAAATACCCAGCATCCACAGCAAAACTATGATGTTACTTTTAAAAAAAATATATAAATCAATTCTAAATAAAATCCTGGTCTTGCCATTCCATTTCAGGACCATAAATCTTTAAAGAAGAGCTGACAGGTTTAATGGCAGACACAAGTGCCAGTTCTGCTTTATTTAATGTTTATTATAAGTCTAATGTGTATATCTTTATTTCTTTCTTGGGGCCTTCTGATGTCTATTCTTCAACTCTCTCATCTCTGAACTTCAACCTTTGACTTCACCTGCCTGCTCAGATGGTGTTTCCTAAAATCAATCATGGGTTTCTCTCTGCTGATCAGCAGCTCATTAAACGCCGCTTGATTAAGGTAGTGCTTATTCTTGCTGGAATCTCATTTCTCCTTTGCGTTCAGTTATTACTCTGTATACTGTTACTTTACCATTTATTTTTCATGGGGGGGGTGAGGGGCACTGATTGATTTATTTATTTGTAAATATCTAAGAATTAAATTAAGTTAAGGACTCTGCATTTGGATAAAATTGATATAAAACTAAAAAGGCTAGGAAGTGTATCTGTTTCCTAATTAACAAAGAAAACAATCTGAATTGGATCCAGTAATAGATTCCACTTCTAAGCTCAACAGCTCTGGTAATTTATTTATCATTACACAGTGTGACAGAAGTCTCCTTTGCTCACTTTTTAAAGTTATAAAATGGTTAATTTACCCAGGTATATAGGCAGATATTTTATTAATAATATGAATATAACTAATGCAGCAGCATCATGAACAACATTATGCAAAAGTTATATACCGGCTCTGAATATAGTGATAACATGTACACTGTTCCCAAGAGCTGTGAGTGCTTGGATCCTGAGCAGCTTTGATTTTAATAGCATCTAGTCAGCTCACCCAGCATGAATATTTATTTGCTCCCTGCTGGCAGGCAAATTGCCTACAGGCTTCATGTTTTTTCCTTGTTCTGGTTCTTTTCACAGTGTAAATGTGGATTAGATAATACAAACTTAAAGTGTTGAAATGAAGAGCTGGATCTTTATCTCTTATGGTTATCGTGGGTCTGTTTCCTTCTCCATCCTAGGGTGATCAAGGACAGGCGGGGCCCCCAGGACCTCCAGGCCCCCCAGGCCCCAGAGGGCCTCCTGGGGACACAGGGAAAGATGGCCCCCGTGGAATGCCAGGAGTTCCCGTGAGTTGCTTCGGGGATCGGTTTTTGTTACAAGTTTGGTTTTTTTAAGGGCTGAGAACTAAGATAAATGTAGATGTGGAAAGACTGTAGGTTAAGAGAGTCAAGTAACACATGAGTTGGGGGAAGTGGAATGACAGTAAAGCCATGAGCAGAGCAGGTAAGTCCCAGCAGAGTTCTGGTTTATTACTCAAGGCATCAGGGAATCCGTACAAACCACTAAGAGAAACCAGCAGACAGCAGCAGCAGCAGGTAAGTCTCAAGAAGTTTCCATCTTAAGGGACTTGTTCTCACCTGTGTCCTACTAGAGCATCTAGGTTTTGGTATGAATGGGAGACTAGTTTAAAAATTTAAGTCAGAGATTAAGAACACTTTTTCAAAGGATCAATAGCAGAGACAATAAAACTCCATACTATTTATGGGATATAAGAGGTAAAGCTTTCTCATACTTAATTCCTTACAAATTACTTAACCAAAAAAAGACTAAAACTAATTGTTAAAATATCAGAAAATATGGTTTGGCTATCATCTGTACTTTATATATGAGTCATAATAGCAACAATCATTTAAAAGCGACCTCAGTAGATCAGACCAGCAAATAAAATAAGAAGTATGTGTGTGTGTAAACATGTTTAGATTTATATTAAGAGTTGAAATTGAGGTTAAATTGTTTAATTTTTGCCTTCACTTAAATTACTTTCATTACTATTTTTATATATAAATCTAATAAAATACCTACAAAGTAGAAAATTCAAAAAAGAAAGGCAGCCAAAAAAAAAAGAAAATAAAAATTTATCATAGTTGTTAATGGTTTGATATATTTCTCTCCATTTTCATATAAATGCATAGTGTATCACTTTTTTCAAAGAGAAGTTCTTTGCAAAAGGATGGGATCCTGAAAAAGTCTTCTGAGAGGAAACTATCTTATAAGCCCACTTTTCCTTTCTGAAAACTACTGTAAATTTGATCATATGAAATGAGTAATTAAACATGATTCATTGTTAGGATTATACCCCAAAAATGCAATTGTTGTTGTTGTTATGTGCCGTCGAGTCTTTTGCAACTCATAGCGACCCTATGTACAACGGCCCTAAACTCTGCTCTGTCCTGTGCCAATCGCACTGTCTCTGACACTCCCATCCCGATTATCCCAGCCACTGAATCCACCTCATAGAGGACCTTCCCCTCCTGTGCTGTCCCTCCACCCTCCCAAGCATGATGTCCTTCTCCAAGGACCGGTCTCTCCTCATAACATGTCCAAAGTATGTTAGACGGAGCTTCAGAATCCTTGCCTCCAAGGAGCCACCCAGTTTAACCCTTTCCAGGACGAATCTGTTTGTTTCCCTAGCAGTCCATGGTACTCTCAATACTCTTCTCTAGCACCACAGCTCAAAGGCATCAATTCTCCTTCTATCCTCCTTGGTCATGTCCAACTCTCTGATGCATAACAAGTGATTGTGAAGACCATGGCCTGTATCAAATCCACCTTAGTCTCCAGAGAGACACCATTGCTCTTCAGTACTTTGGAGAGGTTCCTAGCAGCAGACTTTCCCATGGCAAGGCTCCTTTTAATGTCCTGGCTACTGGTGCCAAGAGTGTTGACTATGGAGCCAAGCAAGCTAAAGCTGTGAAGAATCTCAATCTCTTCACCATCCATCCTGATGTTGCCAGTTGGTCCAGTGGTGAGAATCTTTGTCTTCTTGACATTGAGCCTCAATCCATATTGGAGTTCTGCAGTCCTTTATCCCCTGCAGCAGGTACTTCAGGTCCTCCTCAGTTTCAGCAAGCAGGGTAGTGTCATCTGCATAACGCAGATTGTTGATAAATTGTCCACCAATCTTGACCGCACATATCTCCTCATAGTTTATCTTAAAAATTGTTTTCTGATGACTAAATTTTCCTTGGGATATTCAACAGGCAGAGAATGCACTGCTTTTGCAAACTTTTAAATATTTGTCAGTATTTAAAGCTGCTCCATTTGTTGCTGGTTACCACCAATGAGTGTCTCTTCAAAGAAGAAAAACAACAAAAATAATTTTTTTTTTCTGTAGAGCAAAATAAGTCATGACATTGGGTTTAGTGTAAGGTAAAGTTCAAAACAAAATCCCATGTAGCAATTAGTTAAGGAAAAATAACTTGTTTTTATTGTCCTACAAATATAATTTGAGCTAGATTGATTATTTTTGAGCTAATGCTCGTTAGAAACAGGAGTGGTGAGGCTTCTCTCCCACTTTGGACATGTTAACAGATGGGGCCACTCCCTGGAGAAGAACATCACGGTGGATAAAGTAGAAAGTCAGCAATAATAAAGACCTTCAATGAGATGGACTGACACAGGGCCTTCAATGATGGGCTGAGACACAGCAAAGATAATGAGGATGGCAACCGGACGACACAGTGTCTTGTTCTGTTGTACAAAAGGTTGCTTTGAGTCAAAACCTACTCAATAGCACTCAAAAACAAAATCATAACCACTATTAAAAGATTTCTTAAAAATGAACTAGGAAGTATTTCTTTTTAAAAGCCATCAACACCTACATATATTGGCTTTGCATGCACAGTTTCCCCCCCCAAAAGAATCTGTAGCCAATTACACTGTCATTAGGATAATATGATAGGAAAGCATAATAATCAATTCCATATTAATTCATGTATTAGGGAATAATAGTGGAATGATATAGTAAAATATTTTTATGTGTTTCAGTAAAACACTTCAAGAGGTCAAAAATTCAAAAACAATTGCAGACTCATTTTATTTTTAAAAAATTTCTACACTAAACACAATGGTTTCTCTGTTCTCTCTGTGAAAGGTCTGACATCTCCTAAAATGACACCAGTCATCACCTCTCTGTCACCACCCAACCCCTCACTGCTGTTGAGTAAGAACTGACTTTTAACTGGCCCACCATTGGCCTTCTAAGCCTGTGAATCTCATAGGAGGCAACTGCCCATCCTTCTCCCTTGGAAATGCTGATGGATTTGAATGACCACAGAACCTTGGTCTTTGATTTAGTAGCACAACTCCCTACAGACAGCCTCTACAGCTCTCTTCTGTCATCATAGAAAGGACAGAAGCAAAATGCTCCTGTAATTATAATTAAATCTTTTTCTAAGATTATTTATTAATTTATAATCCTTCTGACAAGTTTAGGGAACTCGAGTTGCCTAGTGGTAAGAAGCTGTATTGCAGTCCCAAAGGCACACAGTTCAAACCCAGCTGCTCCATAGGGGAAGACTGGACACTCTCCTCCTGTGTGATTTGCTCCCTCTGAAAACCTACTGGAAAGTCACCTATGGCTTGGTTCCTACTTGACAGCACACAACAACTAGTTTTATTTAGGGAGCACTTGTGCTCCACTAGTTAAGTTCTCTGCTACTAACTAGTTTTGAGCCAACTCGATTTTTGGGGAAAAGACTTGGAGATTTGCTTCGATAAAATTATAGCCAAGAAAATACCATGGGGCAGTTTCATTCTCTCACGTAGGGTTGTTATTTGTTGGAATGTATTCAAAGGCATGCAACAACAGCGGCTAGTTACTCAATATGTGTTCTAGGCATAAGTCTTAAACCTCTGCTGAAATCTAGGTTTATCTTATTTAAATGTTTATAATGTGACTTTGTAAAAAGAATATCTGCTCTTTTTAAATCAGTCATATGGCAATTCTCTATTTAGCCTGGAAAAATATAATTGCTATTTACCTGTGCCAAAGAGTATTAGATCAAAAGAAAATAACCGAAATGATTAAGATTGGCTTCCACTGTTTATGGCATTCCTAAAATTATTTCTATTCTTTTCAAAGGGTGAACCAGGGAAACCAGGGGAACAAGGCTTAATGGTAAGTATCTAAATTTCTATTTTGCTGAACCTCAAAAATTGGAAGGATGAGTTACTAAAGGCTGTATTTGAGGCTGACAGGGACTGCAAAGTGCTTACTGGAGACTAGAAGACATTAAAGTGACTTTAAGCACTTTCAGAAAAATTCTTAGGAAATTCCAAAAGTGTGTCTTAGATTTAATTAATCATCTAATATTAGATAGATGTATTAATAAAGTAATTCTGACTGATAAAAGGTCTCTGTTTTCTTGTCTCGAGCTAGTTGACTACAGTCAGAAGGGAACTAAGAACTGGCTTAACGTTTGATGTCTGGAGAGTGTAGGGAGAATAAATATGAGTGCCTTTGATCTTAACTCTGATTTTACTTGATGGGGTCAGCAAGCTGTGATCTCTGGGCCAGATCTGCCTGCTGCCAGGTTTTGTCAGTAAAGTTTTATTGAAACATATTCATGCTCATACTTTTACATGTTGTCTGTGGCTGTTGTCACTGTGTAAGAGAAAAACTGAGTAGTTGTGACAGGAATTGTATGACCTGCATGGGGGAAAATATTTACTATCAAAATTACTGAACTTCTAATGTAACAAACCATACCAGTAATTTTAGTAACTTTATTTCACTGTTGATTAATATTGGTTTTAACAGAATTGGTCAGTAAAAGGTCCATGACTTGTTACATGTCATCAAGCTGCCTGCATCTCCTAGCAACCCTATGTACAAGAGCTCTGAACTCTGCTTTATCCTGAGCCAACATTATTGTCTCTGACACACCTACCCCATTACCCCAGTCATTAAGTCAAACCATCTCATTGAAAGTCTTCCTCTCTTGTGCTATCCCTCCAACAAAGTATGTTAAATGGAGCATGACTATATCACTAAAAAAAGAATGAATACCAAAATTATATCTGTCAAAATATCTTCCATGCAACCTATGACAAAGAGTGAAAGTAAGAGTTCAGAAATACATAATCATATTTGATAAGATAAAGCAAAGTGTTAGAACAAAGTATGCAAAGATCTGGACTTAGAAAACCAGAACAGAAGCACATGCTCAGCAGTTGTTAAACTGAAAGAATAGAAGAACAAATTCAAGCCTCGAGTTACTATACTAGAAGATTAATAAAATCTTAAATTATGCAGGAAGAATAAAAAAGATGGAAGGAACACAACATAGCCACTGTGCCAAAAGAATTGGCCAACAAAAAAACATTTCAGGAAGGAGTATTAGATCAAGATCCAGTGGTAATGAGGAAAGAAGTTCAAGCTACACTGAAGGCACTGGGGGGGGGGAGAGAAAATAGACCCCAGAAATTGATGAAATACCAACTGAGCTATTTCAACAAATAGATGTATTGTGGTTGTGCTCAATAGTCTATGCCAAGAAGTTAGGAAGACAGCTACCTGGCTAACCGACTAGAGAAGGTGCATAATTGATCCCAAGTCAAAAATGGGTAGTCCAACACAATGTGGAAATGATCAAACAACATCATTAATATCACATGCAAGCAAAATCTTGCTGAAGATATTGAAAATGAATGAAACAGTATATTGATGTTGAACTGACAGGAATTCAGGCTGGTTTCAGAAGAAGCTTTAGCACAAGAGATATCATTGCCAATATTAAATGGATCTTGGCTGAAAGCAGAGACTATTAAAAAAGTCATTTAATGGTGTTTTATTTACTTAGAAAAAAGAATTTGATTGTGTGGATCATAAATTATGAATAACATTGAGAATAATGGGAAACAATTGTAATCATATGATGCTGTTGTTAATGTTTTGTACCGTCAAGTCATCTGCAACTCATAGTGACCCTATGTAAAACAGCCCAAAACTCTGCTCTATTCCTTGCCAGTCTTATTGTCTCCAACACACCTACCACCATTACCCCAGTCACTGAATCAATCCATCTCATAGAGGATCTTCCTCTTCTGCACTGTCCCCCAACCCTCCCAAGTATGATGTCCCTCTCCAAGGACTGGTCCCTCCTTGCAGCATGTCCAAAGTATGTCAGATGGAGCCTCAAAAATCCTTGCTTCCAAGGAGCAGCCTGGCTTCACCCTCTCCAGGACGAACTTGTTTGTTCCCCTAGCAGTCCATGGTATATTCATTACTCTTCTCAAGCTCCAAACCTCAAAAGCATCAACTCTCCTTCTATCATCCCTAGTCTTGTCTAGCTCTCTGATGCATAGCAAATAATGGCAATGACCATGGCCTGTATCAGGCATACCTTAGTCTCCAGAATGACATCGTTGTTTCTCAGTGCCTTGGAGAGGTCTCTGACAACAGACTTTTCCAATGCAATTTGTCTTTTGATTTCCTGGCCACTGGTACCAAGAGTGTTGATTATAGAGCCAAGCAAACTGGATCTGTCAACAATCTCAATCCCTTCATCATCTATCATGATGCTGCAAATAGTCCCAGTGGTGAGAATTTTTGTTTTCTTGATGTTGAGCTTCAATCCATATTGAAGACTGCAGTCCTTGACCTTCTGCAGCAAGTTCTTCAGTTTTAGCGAGCAGGGTTATGTCATCTGCATAATGCAGATAATTGATGAGTCTACCTCCAATCCTAATGCCATATTTCTCCTCATAAAGCCCAGCTTCCTGGATCTTCTGTGCCACATGTAGATTGAAAAGATAAGGAGATAGGACACATCAGTGATGCACACCCTTCCTAATTTTGAACCATGCAATGTTTCCTTGCTGTGTTCTGATGACTGCCTTCTGTCCAAGTAAGTTTCACATAAGCACAATCAAATGTTCCAGGATTCCCATTCATCTCAGAGTCAACCACAGTTTGTTGTGATCCATACAGTCAAATGTCTTTGCATAGTCAATGAAACACAGATAGACATTCCTCTGGTACTCTCTGCTTTCATCCAAGATCCATCTACCATTAGCTATAATATCCGTAGTGCCACAGCCTCTTCTAAATCCAACCTGCACTTCAGGCAGTTCTCTGTTGATGTGCTGTTCCAATCATTTTTGGGTAATCTTCAGAAGAATCTTGATTGCGTGTGATATCAGTGATGCAGTTGATAATTTCCACACTCTGTCAGATTACCTTTCTTTGGAATGGGAACAAATATAGATCTCTTCCAGTCAGTAGGCCAGGTGGTTGTCCTCCAGATTTCTTGGCCCAACTTGGTGAGCACATCCAGGTCAGCATCTGTGATACCTATATAAAATATAAGAAGTTGTTGTCCAAACATAACAGAACATTGTATGTTTTAAAATAAGGAAAGGTGTACCCCAGGGTTATATCCTTTCTCCAATTTTCTTTGTATATGCCATTGAGTCAGAACTGACTATAGGTGACCATTCACCTGGTTTTCAAAGGCAGCAAATTGTATGGGAGGAAACTGACCATCCTTCTCTTGTGGAACAGCTTGTGAATATGAACTATGCGTTTCTGGGAACAATGCAGCTTCTCACCAGTCTGTATGCTGAGCAAATAATACCAGAAAATAAACTACATGAAGAAGAATGTAACATGAAGTTTGGAGGAAGATTTATCAACAGCTTATGTTGTGCAGCTCACATAACCTTGCTTGCAGAAAGTGAAAAAAAATTGAAAGAATTTGCAACTAATGATGAAAGGCTATCACCCTTTAGTATGTTTTACATCTCAAAATTAAGAAAATAAAAATTCTCACCACTAGACCAATAGGCAAGGTCATGGAAGATGAAGAAAAAAATGAACTTGTCAACAATTGTGTTTGGATCTACGGTCAACACTCACGATAACAGTTGTCAAGGAATCTGAAGATGGGTTGCATTGGGGAAATCTTCTGTCAAAGAATTCTCCAATGTTAGAAAGAACAAGGTTGTCAATTTAAAACTAAGGTGCACCTAATCCAAGGCATGGTATTTTCAGTTGCATCCTATTCTTATGAAATTTGGATAATGAATAAGAATCGCCAAAGAACTGATGATGCCTTTGAATTGTAGTATTGGAAAATACTGGGGGGGGGGATCCCCCACACCTGCTAGAGTGTCAGCTCTGAGTCACTTCTGACTCGATAGCACAAAACAGCAAGTACAAATTAGCTCTCAGAGGGATCAGATGAATTAGCATAGTAAACCTTCCACAGAATTCCAAATTCTTTCTTTGTTGATGGACTTCACCCAGAGGGAAACAACAATGCCTTCTGCTCACTGTCATTTAAAAAAAGGTCACAAAAATGATTCGTCCATAGACACACAGATCTCATTCACTCATGATATTTTATTCCTTGCCAGTGGAAGAGAAGGTTGGGCATAGTGCAAAGCCTGAGGATGTGGAATTCCTTCAGTCTCCCTCTCCTCCCTGCCATTTGAGCTGTGCTTCTAACCTACATTAATGCAAAGAATAATGCTGGGAACAGTGGAATGCTCTACTAACCCATATTACAGATGCCAACTAGTCTTACCCTCACCCTGAGGAATGAAGGCATGCTCAGGGATTAGGCAGGGTGATGACAATAAGCCAGTAAGCTCGATAAAGTTCATGATGCAACAACATGTGCCTGTAGATAGGGGTGTTCAGGATACAAAGTTTATTTTAGAAAAAAAAACCCAAAACCTCAACCTCCAAAATCCCAAGCTTTGTTGAAGCTAACACACAGAATCATAACCTTTGGTATGAAATTGAAAACAAACATATGCATAAGTAAAAGGTCAAAGCCTTCTTCTGGTTTGAGATGCCTTCTAGAGAGAGCCCAACCAAGAGAAACCCTCCTGACCTGGAGATAGAGCTGCTTTAGTAAGATCATTAGTGAAATAATCAGTGAAGGGATTGTACAATGGCTACCAATGCTGACTCATCACCTGAACTTATAGATAACTTTAGGAGGGATTTCTATAACAGGTTTTCTCTTTTTTTTATTATTAATTTCAATGAAAATTTACAGAAACTTTGGATTTCCATTCATTCATTGTTGCATTTTTCTCCCTGAGGTTTCCTCTTTTTTAAAAAATTTATTTTATATTAATATGCATAAAAATTTATTTACATTAAGT